AGAGTCAACTCATGTTGGGGGCAGGGTTGCAGACGCAAGCCACAAAAATCCGTGAGAAGAACTGAAACCAAACTCATTGCAGCTGAGTCAATTCCGACTCATACCGACCCTATAAGGCAGCGCAGAACTCCCCCATAGGGTTTCCAAGGAGCGGCTGGTGGATTCAAACTGCTAACCTTTTGCTTCGCAGCCAAGCCCTTAACCACTGTGCCACCAGGGCTCCAAAGTCACATTAGTGGGAGCTTTATAAGAGGAAAGGGAGGTGCACTCAGGCCTGTGTGGCAACAGGAATGGGGGACCTCTTGGATGCATGTGCACTGGGTGTTTGCAAAGATCTCAAAGACCCCTTCATCAAAATCATGCAATGCCCACTTCAAACAAACCCTAGAATCCTCTAAAAGGTTCCTCTTCCCGAAGGTGTCACTAAGATAGAGAAACCAAACCAAAACCCGTTGCCGTCGAGTTGATTCCAACTCATAGTGACCCTATAGGACAGAGTAGAACTGCCCCATATGGTTTCCACAGAGCACCTGGTGGATTTGAGCTGTTGACCTTTTTGTTAGCAGGCATAGCTCTTAACCACTACGCCACCAGGGTTTCCCAAAATAGAGAAAGGGGAATTATTTATGAAACTCTCAGTTGCCCAGGAAAAGTCCAGGAGACTACAGAAGGACTTAAGAAACTTTGAGTTGGTGCAACCAGGGCTGGATTCTTAGCTTTCCTTTGCCAAGTTGCTGAGGCTTTGCCTCAGGCTCTTCCTCTGGGAACTAGAGTTTAGAGCACAGCTTATGGGGATGTTGGAAGGATGCAGGGAAGTGGGGTTTGTAAAGAGTTTAGCAGCGGGTGTGACTCAGGAAATAAATGATCATTACAGTTACAATATGTTGAGCCAGGCATATCTTATAATCCTTATCTCCTGTGAAGAATGTGAAGTTCACAGAGATTAAGCAATGTACCTGGGGTCACACAGCTATGTCAGTGTAGAGCTTTGGGGAGGAAGGTTTTGAGATGTAGCTGCAAAGGTAGTTAGAAAGCGGGCCATGCAGGTGGCCAAGATGCGGAGATTCTTCTTGATCCTAAAACAATGGGAAGCCATTACAAGATTTGGGGCAAGGATGGGTATGATCAGATTTGTGTTTTGAAAAGTCCCTCTGGTCTGAGTGTTGGAAAATGGATTGGGGTGGGGACTGCATGGATGTAGCGAGAGTTGACGTTGTGGCAGGGGTTCAGGGAGAGACGAAGGGGGCTTGGATGAGGAGACTGTGACAGAGAGAAGTAGACTAATTCAAGAGATTACAAGGGGTAAATCAACAGGACTTGCCGATCCAAAACTGGGAGCAGGGGCTGGGGAGAGGGGGCCTCCAGGATGTTGCCTGGGTCTGCAGACTTGTGACACTGGATAGATAGAAGCACGTTCCCTGGTGTGTCTCAGAGCTGCTGTAACAAAATAACACCAACTCGTGGCTTCTAAGAACAGAAATTTATTTTCTCAGAGTTGTGGAGGCAAGAAGTCTAAATTCAGAATGCCGGGGGCCATGCTCTCTCCAAAGTTCTCTTGGGAAAGATCCTTCCTTGTCTCTTCCAGCTTCTGATAGTCCCAGGCATTCCTGGGCTTGCAGCTGCAGCATAACTCCATCTCTGCCCCCAAATTTAACATTCTTCCCATTGAGAAGTAGGGGTGTATGACCTTTCCCTTGAATCTGGCCTCTAAGTCTGCCTGACCAATAGAACACAGTGGAAGTGACACTTCTGCTTCCTGACTCTTGGGACGCTTGTCCTTGAAACCCAGCCACCATGCTATGAGGAAGCTCAAGCTGCTTTGTGGGGAGGCCCACATGAAAGCAACCAACAGCCAGCACCAACTTGCCAGCCATGTGGATGTGCCATCTTGGAAGTGGACCCTCCAGCCCCAGTCGAGCCACCCTAGCTGTTGCTCCGTGGAGCACAGTAGAGCTGTTCCCACTGATCCCTGCCCAAATTGCAGCTACATGAGCTAAATAAATTATTGTTGTTGTTTTCAGAAATTAAATTTGGAGGTGGTTTGTTAGGCAAGCAGCCCTAGTGGCACAATGGCTAAGCACTTGGCCGCTAACCCAAAGGTCAGCAGTTCTCACTCACCAGCTGCCTAAGAAATCCTAGGGGGTAATTCTACTCTGTCCTACAGGATTGCTATGGGTCGCTATGAGTAGGAATAAGGAGCCCTGTTGACTCGGTGATTAAGTGCTTGGCTGCTAACCAAAGGTTGGTGGTTCTAATCCACCAGACACTCCACGGGAGAAAGATGAATAGCCGGCTTCAAACTTCTTTGACCTCTCACTCAATTCAGTGAAAAATGTTTGAGCGTGCATCTCCCATGAATGTGTCTTTATGTACAAGCACCTCCAATATATGTGAATTCTGTACTAATGTATTGTGTGCTCTTTGAAACATGTATGGGAAACAGAAATTCAAAAGGGTGAGGGAGAAAATAAAAATAGAAATGCAGTCTTTTCTTCCTGCACTTCAGAGGGTTGCCTGAGGTACACATGCTCCCTTTTAGAAAATATAAATTGAAAGGAGGTTTGAGTCAGGCTTAAATGTGAAGAATGTTTGTTAAGTAGAAATAAGCAATTTCTTGACCCCATGCCTTCTAGTTTAAGGAAAGAAATTTAACTATTTCTAAATAAAGCAGAGCCCTGCCATGTGGCTACAGGGAGGACATGGAAGACAAGGGAACCCCAGACCCACAAGAATGGCTGATGACATCCTCTAAGAGCAAGGGGAGCCCATGGAGGGTCAGCTGACAGCTCAACAAGTCCAGAGCCTGCTGCTCACACATCACCAGGCCCAGGAACAGGCACTTGGCAGGTAGTAAGAGAAGTTGTACCATTCTAAGTGCTTTACTTGTATCAACGCATTAAACCCTGACAACAACTCCACAAAGTGTTATTATTTTCCCCGCTTTACAGATGAGGAAACTAAGGCCAAGAGCAGTTGTTGAGTGAATGAATCAATCAAGCTACCCAAGAATGGGTGTATTTGTAAAATGACCCTATGGGGAGAAAAGAATGCATGTATATGCACACACATATGTACACCCACACACATACATGCACGCATACACACACATGCACACACACATATTTCAGGGTTTTTTGTTGCTTGAAACCAAGGTAACCAAATTCATGGACCCTTTAGAAAAACTGATGAAAGCTACAGACCAAACTGTGCATCTGATTTCAATGGGGTTCTTGGGTACTTAGAAGCCCAGCAGTTGATTCCACTTTTAGAACCCTGTTCTGTGGGATTTTCCAGATCTAGGGCACTAGGATTCTGATATGTTATGATATTCTTGCACTCGAGAAGATTATAAATTTAAATAAACAAAAAAATGACAAACTTTTCCTCCTCAGCCCCTATAGTCTCAGTTCCACAGGTAGCAGGAGTCTGGGGGAGTAAACCAACATACGGCTTTGTGTGACCTGACATCTGCAAATATTACAAGTCTCATAGCTAGGGTGACCTATATAATTTATTGTCCAAATTTGGACACTTTAGGGAGTGAGAGGGGGCACTATTAATATTTATGCCAAGGCAATGAACATAAACTGGGAGTGTCCTAGGCCAACCAGGACATCCCACTTTGAGCAGAATCAATTACTATCAAATAGAATTTGTTGTGCAAAAAGTAGGGATTTGCTGCTTTTTCAGGAGCCCTAGACAGACAGAGGTATTGCGTTGAGCAAATCTGCTGCCAAAGACCTCTTTAAAGTTCTGAAAAGCAAAGACGTCACTTTGATGACTTAAGGTGCACCTGACCCAAGGCATGGTCTTTTCAATCGCCTCATATGCATGCAAAAGTTGGACAATAAAAAAGGATGACTGAAGAAGAATTGACGTATTCAAACTGTAGTGTTGGCAAAGAATATTGAATATACCATGGACTTCCAGAAAAATGAACAAATTTGTCTTAGAAGAAATAAAACTGCAATGGTCCTTAGAAGCAAGGATGGTGAGACTTTGGCTCGCTTACTTTGGACATGTCCTCAGGAAAGACCAATCACTGGAGAAAGATATGCTTGGTAAAGTGGAGGGTCAATGAAAACGAGGGAAATCCTCAATGAGATGGATTGACATAATAGCCAAAGTAATGGGCTCAAATATACCAATGATCATGAAGATGGCACAGGCCAAGGCAATGTTTTGTTCTGTTATACATAAGGTCACCGTTAGTCGGAGCCAATGTGACGGCAACTAACAACAATAACAAACTGATGTCACCTGCTCAGCTGCTCCATCTACCCTAGCAAGACCAGATGCCATTGATTTGATTCCAACTCATAGCGACCCCATGTGTGTCAGAGCAAAACTGTACTCTGGGTTTTCAATGACTGATTTTTCATAAGTAGATCATCAGGCTTTTCTTTGGAGGCACCCCTGGGTGAACTCAAACCTCCAACCTTTTGGTTAGCCGAGCGTGTTAACCATTCATACTACCCAGAAACTCAGAGCTTTGGCTAATTCCCACTTCTGTAGTTTAGATCCTGCCCTTCCCCTGTGATATACACAACACAGCTCTGTGTCTGACCTTGAGTTGTCTGAGGCAGGAGAGTCCTGAGGCTCCAAACTAAAGGATCACACCAGTAACAGGGACTTTGCTCTTGAATCTATTTACCTCTCGGTCCCCCTAGTACATGCAGCCTTCTCTCTCCATCGAGTTTTACTAACTGCCTGGGGCCCAAACTCCACTGTTGACCAGATTAAAGCAGAGTGACCTGAGTGGCCCAGCCACGGCAAAGGGCACTTGTCCCAATCCACCCACCCCTAAGCCAAACTGACGTCATCGAAAACGTTGGGACAGGGATAGGTTGAAATTTAACTATTAGGCTTTGGGGTTTGGGTGATTTTCTACAAGAAGTTGCCTTGATCAAAGTGAGAACAGGTACTAGGAAAAGACCACCCTTCTTTTTATTGGGATCTGCAGAGGAACTGGTTTCCAGCGGGGTTCAGACAGACCCAAGATGCTAAAGACCACCATGTTGGGAAGGAGAAATCTGGAGTCCTTTAGTTTCTCATTCTGGGTAAAGTGGTTGTGGGGGACCCCCCGAAGTCATCCGATGAGGCCGGAGCAATCCTGCTGTCAGTGTTCCTGTGCACAGAGGAATAGGAATAACGCCTGTAAGTAGATCCCTGAATTTCCCAAATGAAAGAGTGTGTCTAGGTGTGGAATGGCCGTGCATTGATGTTTGTCTAATTGTGTGGTGTCTTTCAAAATGGGGGACAGTTCCTGAGCCAGCCTGCCAGGGTTCAGATTTCAACTCTGTCTTGTATATATTTGGTGACCTAGGGCAGGTCATTTGACGTCAGTACAACGGGGTGTCGGGCAGAGAGATGTTCAGAACCAGGCACCTAATAAGTATCCCACCAAGACCACCAAGTGGCTATTATTAAAGGCCAATCACATCAGAATAAGCTACGTGGACTAGTGGTTATAGCTCCAAAACCACTTCAGCAAAGAACATTTTCAACCAACATTTCTTTAATAAACAGATCACCCAAACAGCTCCACTAAGGGACTGCCACGTCCCAGCCTCATTGGGCTATGTCATTAATGATCTGTGACCTTGGACAAGTCCCTCCTTTCTCTGCACAATGAAACAAAATGCTGCCCGTCCTCCACCATCCCCATGATCAGTTGTAGACTGAACCCTTGTGATCCATAGCGTTTTCACTGTCTTAGTCTGGGAGCTCTGCTGAAACCTTTTCAGCTCATAACGACACATAAGCCTCCAGTGACAGATGGGTGGTGGCTGTGCATGAGGTATATTGCTGGGAATGGAACCTGGGTCTACTGCATGGAAGGCAAGGATTCTACCATTGAGCCACCGCTGCCTTTTCTCTTCAGAAAATGCTGTAGTTAGCACAAGAGTTACTTTGCTGCACACTAACCTGGGCCGCAGAGGGACGTGTTAGAAATGAGCAGATATCTGAAGCCTGCTCAGCGTTTACATGGCATCATCTCTCTGTCTGCCACAATGAGCAACATCCTTTCATTTGGGTGGCAGAGACTGTTCAACGCGGATGTTTCATTGTTTGCAGCCCCTTTATGAAGTGTGGCAAATGTGACCTAAAAATCTCCACTCTTCTGACCCCTTGCATTTCTGAGAGTCAGGGGTGCCAAGATGAGTTTCCTGGTCAGATGAGGTGGTCTTCTCCATTGGATTTAAGGCAAGCTCTGTGCAGCCGTGTTAAGTACCAACATCCCAACAGGGAGGACCGGATGTTACAGCACTTTGTGAGAGTGTGCAGACTGTGTGCAGTATCGCTTTCCCGATCAAGGAGGATCAATGTCCTTGTGGGTTGGGCTGGCTTGGGGGGACTCTTTGGAGAGGACAGACAATGGAGCCCAGGACTGCTAGTCTAATTCTGAAGGAAAGCAGAAGCTGGGACAAGAGGCACTCAAAGGGCCCCATTGCGGTGTCTCAGACGAATGAGGCTAGATCCCGAGTCCCTCATCATTCATCATGTCAAGGAGGACAGCCAGGTAGGACACTGGGTATATCTGAGGTCACTTCAGGGAGCTAGTTCCTGAGTAGACTCTGTCACGTTTTAGTGTATTGTAATGAGGTTTCTGTTACTCATGGTTTTTGCCACACTGTCTATGGGAAAAGAGAACAGACGTGTCTTCCGGGTCTACTACGCATGTGGCAGTGTTCCAGGTCCTTCCCAGGTGTGAAGGATCTCACCTAATCTTCTCAGAAAGCCCACGGAGACCTATATTATTGTTCCAATTCTTTGGATGAGGAAACTGAGGCCCCAGGGGGGTTAGTAACTTGCCCAACAACTCAGGTTGTGAGCATGAGAGCTAAGTCCCACACAGTCCTGGTGAACTTGCAGAGAGGAAACCTCGCTCCCCAAGCCCTGTGCTGCCCTTCTAGCCACCATGGGGACCCATGTGGTCTCCATGGCCACACCAATTCTCAGGCACCTACTAAGTGTCGGGCATTTGGCACCCATGTGTCTAATCCCCACCGTGACCCCCGAAGGATAGGCACAATCGTGCCCACCTTATGGGTAAGGAAATGAAGGTGCAGAGAAGTCACATGCCTTGCTTAAGGGGTTCATTGGCAGAGGCAGAGCTAGAACTTGAACCCCAGTCTCTGTGCCCCGTTAGCTCTCCAACCCGGCAACCGCAGTGGGGAGAGTGTGTTGAGTTGTGCCAATGATACCTCCATATTTTGATGGTGTTTTGTCACTGGTGCAACATGACCAGAAGCACTCAGACAACTAGGGTTTTTTTTTTCTTTTTTTTTTTTTACTTT